TAAGCACCCTATTTTATTCATTTTTAAAATTCCAACTAAAAAATGAGAGGAGATAATGATAGAAGGTCATATTTTTCATTTCATCTGGTTACATACAAAGCACCCAAAACTTTGTTATCTACAAATCAGGCCCACTCCTTCATCTGTTCATTAAATTCCCACTCAAAAAATTAGTGGAGATAAGAACACCATTCAACCTTTTTCATTTTATAGCAAATTTCAAATCATAAAATCAAAAGAGATAAATCAAAAGCCACAAATCACAAATATTACAAATTTTTCACAGTAAACTGCAAATGAGAAAGCCATTCCATCTAAATGAGGCATTTACAACAAGACACCCGAAACAATGCTATGTACAAATCAAGCACCCTATTTCATCTATTTTTCAAATTCCTACTAAAAAAGCAGAGGAGGTAATGATAGAAGGTCATCCCATATTTTTCATTTCATTCGGTTACATACAGAACACCCAAAAATTGCTATCTACAAATCAAGCACACTTTTTCAACCATTTATCAAATTTCCACTTAAAAAATAAGTGGAGATAAAAACATCATTCCACGTATTTTTTTAAATCACAAAATCAGAGGAGATAAATCAAAAAGCCACAAATCGAAAATATCAAACAATAAACTGCAAATGAGGAAGCCATTCTATAAAAAAATGAGCATAAAAATTATGTACAAAGCACAATAACCAGAGATAGGAGAGAATAGTGAGAAGAGAAAGGCAACAACTAGAGAGAGGCGCATGAAATGCTTGAGAGAAGAGCGAGAGAGAAATGAGAGAGAGAGGTATCTAGTGTTCACAAGAGAGATTAAGAGAGGCACGAGATCGAGAGAGGTACATGGGGTAGAAGAGACGCGAGAGAGGGAGCTGAGGGCAGCGGAGTAATAAATTAGTTAAGAAATGCGGGTCTCGTGGTCGAACCCGTGACTCGCATTTAACATAAATTTTTAATAACTGCTACTGCATTACGATTTCCAAGTGGCATTGTCAATATTTTCAAAGCACGCCTCGCCAAATAAACTGCCTCAAATTGGCCCAAAGTTTGGTGATGCTGTCAGAAAACTATAGTATGATTATTTGAAAAAAAAATAATAATCATTACTATAACTTTTTGAACAAAAATTCTTTCTTCATTAAATTCACAACTATTATTTCAAATAACTGAACATTACTCAAACAGACCCTTAGATCAAAATGTTAACGACTCGTTTGAAACAATGACTTTTCTTCTTTTCGTCGCAGAAAATGCACAAGAGAACATCCATAGTCGTTTGGGCAGTCAACTTCTCGAAGAATACTTGTCTTGTAACGACATTTATTGCTATTTTGGGATCACGTCATTTTAGCTCCGTTCTGTAGTTTTGAAGCACCGTTCCATTGTTTCAGAGAGGGAAATGACCAAAATACTCGCAAAAAAGAGTTGGTTTTTCTGGTAAAGGTGAGTTTGAGAATTATTTATGTATACAATTTTAAATTAAATATCATTGAAACTATTGTTGGCTAATTAAAACTATTAGGGATATTTTAGTATTTTACCTTAAACCATAATATCATTTTAACGTTCAAACCATAATATCATTTTAACAACCAATGCTTTATACCACTATTTTTTTATGAAGTTGCTTTAAAATGACTTTTATAAAAGGAAATACTCTCTCAAACAAGTCTGAGGCTTCCTTTGAGATGACCTCCCTTTATAAAAGTTTCTTTAAAAGTAACTTCACAAGAAGTGACGACATAAACCCTAAAGTTGATTCTAGTGTTTGAATAAAAAAATGTGTTTTTTAACACTATTATTTTATAACCATTTTAATATAAAAGACTATAATATCATAATATTTTTAAAATTATTACGATCGTATTTAATATTGCTAAATTTTTTATAGAAAATAAAATTTAAAATCTAGTAAATTCGATAAATTTTAATTTATCAAATCTGAATGCTGCGAAATTCAGAACAATATTCCATTCAAATTGATTTCGCATTTTAGCATGTTATTTTAGAATTGAAGAGAAATTAATTTTAAAAGCTTTTAATATGAAGGATAAGATAACATCACAATAGTTTTTTAAATATTAAAAAAAATTGATATGCCCAAAATTAAAAAATAATTTTTTTTCCTAAAATCAATGGAATATTTATGTACATAAGACGTACGCAGCGCTGCGTACGTCAGGGATTATTCAGCGGGTACAGGGGGGTTATATCCGGGTTATACCTCCCTGTAACCTCCGTGCAAATATTACCCTAAGGAAAATATTTATGTACATAAGACGTACGCAGCGCTGCATACATCCAGGGGTTATTCAGGGGGTACAGTGGGTTATATCGGGGTTATACCCCTCTGTAAACCCCATGTAACCTATTTGTAAACTACCTATAATCTACAAATGAGTTCCGCGCTTCTGTAGTTTCATGGGTACAAATAAGTTACACGGAGGTTACAAGGGAGTTACACGGAGGTTACATGGGGGTATAACCCGAATATAACCCCTCTGTACCCGCTGAATAACCCCTAACGTACGCAGTGCTGCGTACATCTTATGTACGCAAATATTTTCCATTTTTAGCCCTACATGACTCAGCCTCCAATGCCTTTCTCCTCCATTGAAAACTCCCCCTAAAATGCCCTCATATCATCCCATTTGTTTCACTTGTTTTTTCTTCTCATAGTGAGACCACTTGTCATAAATGACCATTAAATGCTTTCTCCGCTTTCTTTAATGGAGAAAGAAAAAAATTATGTTAGGATCTGCGTAGAAAAAGTGAAATGCTATAAGGGATAATACCGAAAATTGGTATGATGGATGACTAGGAGAAAAGCGAGAATATCCCAAGAAGAAAATCGAGGCAAAGCAGGTAAATCGTGGCAAAGATGCGTAGGACCCTATGTTGAAGGATAATATTCACATTTCAGCTTACCAAATGCAGAACATAGGGTTGAAAGTAAGGGCACATTCACATTCAAAATTTGCCAACAATAGGCGCTACGATGGGCAAAAAGTTGACAGAATGTGTTCATCAAAATGCTTGCAATATCTCCGCTCTCTTTCCACCATAACGGAGTGGAGAAGTTCTCTCAAGCGAGGCTTGAGGCTTTATTTTAGATAGCGTCAAAAGCTGTGTTC